TAAATGACAAGAAGCCTGCATTGTCCACAGGGTGGGATCTGCACAGAGGGAACGGCATTTAAATATCCACATACATGGGTCTTACTTTAACAAATGTTCATCACTCTTTACAGCCACTGACTTCAATGTGTTGTATTGGGATTTTTATGTTGGACTGATGCAAAGAGCTCCATGACTGTGAAATGGAAGTATAACATGCATTTGATTTAAAGTCAATCGCATCTACACCCAGTGGAATACATTGAAGTTGGTGGGTTCAATATGTCAAAATGTAAAGCGCTTCATGTTGCCAGTGAAACTGACTGTGGGGAAGACCAGCGGAAGGGCTTGAGAGTCTGCAGGCTGGGCTGGTATTTCCCAAACAGGGAGGGGTGGGACACCCTGCTGCTAGGAACATCGGTGTGATCTGGGCTGGCAAATTCAGATCCAGTTCTCCATCGGACACCATCATCTGTCTGAGGTGTAAAGTTTGCAAGAAGATGCAAAGAGAAAGAGGAAGAGTTATATGACATTCCAGCTAATGAGTCTCAGACACAAACAACTGTGCAAGAAAAACACAGGATGCAAGCGAGACAATGGGAGGGGAGCAGATCTGAAGGGACGAAACGGAAAGTGTCAGACTGTAAAGTCATGGTTACTGTTTGTTCTGCCCACTTCAAAAGATGTCCGTCGATTCCTGCTCTGCTCTGTGGAATAATCTTTCATTGTGTCCTGTACAACAAACAGAATGAAAACTGGATGAGTTTCTTAGTCGAGAAATGTCAATAAAATTCTTCAGACGTTTAAACAGAATCAAACTTCAGCGAGTCATGGCGTCTCCTGCTCCATTTTAAACCTTTTGAGCGTTTTAACAGGAACAGTAATGATAAACATGCAGAAGAGCAGAAGACTTACGGATACATAACCTGTGTTGCTTCATGACACTTGAAACTACAGAGTCAATGAATTACAGGAGCTGCTTCCCACTGTGTCAAAGTTCTGGGAAATGACTCCAAACACACAGTCACGTTTACTCTGCCCTTCGTCATGGCTGTGAAATTTATGCAGAGCAGAAAAGGCAGAACTCAATCTCATTAATATGAGGGCTTAAAGAGTTCAACAGTAGAATCATGACCACAGGTCTAATAGCAAGAATACAAGGTCCTCACTTTGCCAACAAAACGGTGCTTAGAGGTTTCTCATCTTAAGGTGTCATGGTGCTTCTAGTACAAAGACTGTTTAGATCCATTGTGGTTTGTTCATTGCACTTCATGGAGCGTACTGTACTTTAACTTTGCCCCTCCTCTACTTACTGCTTCACACACTGCCATGCTGTGGAAACTTACCCTAACTAACTAACTAACTAACTAACTAACTAACTAACTAACTAACTAACTAACTAACTAACTAACTAACTAACTAACTAACTAACTAACTAACTCAGTGGTTGTCAAATATTTTCTGGGCCGCCCTATAGATTACAGTAAAATCCCCCCAAAAAGAAAAACAAAAAAACTGGGCACACACATCATTCAGACATAAACCTATACATATTTTGTTTTTAAACTCCACTGAAGTTTATTTCACACTTCAGGTTGGAACAAAACACACTACAAACCATCGTTACAGTGAAACATTTGTGTAACTGTTATTTTTTCTATCTGCATACTGCAATGGCACTGTGACCCCCATAGGGGGCATTCACCGTACTTTGGGAATCACTGAACTAACCAACTACCTGATTGCAGTCTGGTGACCCAAGCAGATAGTGCAACTAATAAGCCTGTCCAGTGGTATACTTAATTTTGTTACCTGAGTCAAAGTACTGACCCTACCAGATAAATATCAAGTTTTTAATGTAATTTACTTGATTAGCAGAGTGCAGATTAAGCAACATGACCACAATTCATTAGAGTGTAAATATGCAGGAAAAAACAGATATTTAGCTATATTTCATCCTAAGACAAGCAGACAAAACACCTCACCAAACAATTCACAGAACTGAACATAGAACAGGTAGTAAAGATAAATTAAAAAACCCCCACCAAAAACAGAAAACATTTACACAAGGAATAACTAACAGAAACAGAATAAAAACAAGATATTACTCCAGTAAAAGTAATTCTGTCAAATTGTTACTTATGTTAAAGTAGTGGAGTAAGTGCTTTTAATACTAAAGTATTTAAAGTACTTACACGTTTGAAGTTAAGACAATGCCTTTTACTGGAGCGCCCCTATGCCTATGCATATAGTGCATACCCACTTTTTGTGCCACTGTTGCAAACTGCAGTAAAGGAAGGAGTGTTGTGTGTAATTTAACTGTATGTCGGTGGAACAAAATAGACACAAACTACACAAACAAGAGCAACAGAAGTTAAGAAGAAGCATTTAGAGAAACGTACTGAAGGAAAAAACATGATTTCGTTTTTAAAATA